ACTAAGTGTACAAATTAAAAACATAAAATAACGCCACTAAGTGTACAAATTAAAAACATAAGATAACGCCACACTGCAGGTCGCAACAGAGACGCTGCTAGCCGCTATTTGCTTAGTTACGTTCATGGTTACGTCACGTATGACGAAAGCGCGTAAGTGCAAGCCCACAGACCCCCATAGAGATTGTATTGAAAGCTTTGAAATTTGAAAAAAATAGATTTTACATGACAGGCTATGAGAGACTTCTGGGCGATTTTCAACCTGACTGAAATCGCCCCAAAAACGGGCGGGGCCATTTGAAGCACGACTTTAGCCTGATTTGACATTTAGTGGCAGTCAGATCAGATTACAACACTGATAACTACTGTTGCCGTGATATAATTGATTAGAAAAAAAATCCCTTCCTTTTCCCGTTTGGCAGTGCGTCGCCCATATCGCCCTATTGAACAGGCCGTCCCTGCCCAGATCTGTGACTAGACACAATCCTGTCTCGGAGCTCTACGGACAATTCCTTCCTTGGTTTTTGCTCTGACATGCACTGTCAACTGTGGGACCTTATATAGACAGGCGTGTGCCTTTCCAAATCATGTCCAATCAATTGAATTTACCACAGGTGGACTCCAATCAAGTTGTAGAAAACAGCTCAAGGATGATCAATGGAAACAGGATGAACCTGAGCTCAATTTTGAGTCTCATAGCAAATGTTCTGAATACTTATGTCAATAAGGTATTTCTGTTTTTTATTTTTAATACATTTGCAAAAACGTCTAAAAACCTGTTTTTGCTTTGTCATTATGGGGTATTGTGTGTAGATTGATGAGGGGGAAAAACATTTAATACATTTTAGAATAAGGCTCTAACGTAACAAAATGTGGAAAAAGTCAAGGGGTCTGAACACATTCCAAATGCACTGTATACAGTGGGGGAAAAAAGTATTTAGTCAGCCACCAATTGTGCAAGTTCTCCCACTTAAAAAGATGAGAGAGGCCTGTAATTTTCATCATAGGTACACGTCAACTATGACAGACAAAATGAGAATTCTTTTCTCCAGAAAATCACATTGTAGGATTTTTAATGAATTTATTTGCAAATTATGGTGGAAAATAAGTATTTGGTCAATAACAAAAGTTTCTCAATACTTTGTTATATACCCTTTGTTGGCAATGACACAGGTCAAACGTTTTCTGTAAGTCTTCACAAGGTTTTCACACACTGTTGCTGGTATTTTGGCCCATTCCTCCACGCAGATCTCCTCTAGAGCAGTGATGTTTTGGGGCTGTCGCTGGGCAACACGGACTTTCAACTCCCTCCAAAGATTTTCTATGGGGTTTAGATCTGGAGACTGGCTAGGCCACTCCAGGACCTTGAAATGCTTCTTACGAAGCCACTCCTTCATTGCCCGGGCGGTGTGTTTGGGATCATTGTCATGCTGAAAGACCCAGCCACGTTTCATCTTCAATGCCCTTGCTGATGGAAGGAGGTTTTCAATCAAAATCTCACGATACATGGCCCCATTCATTCTTTCCTTTACACGGATCAGTCGTCCTGGTCCCTTTGCAGAAAAACAGCCCCAAAGCATGATGTTTCCACCCCCATGCTTCACAGTAGGTATGGTGTTCTTTGTCCTCCAAACACGACGAGTTGAGTTTTTACCAAAAAGTTATATTTTGGTTTCATCTGACCATATGACATTCTCCCAATCCTCTTCTGGATCATCCAAATGCACTCTAGCAAACTTCAGACGGGCCTGGACATGTACTGGCTTAAGCAGGGGGACACGTCTGGCACTGCAGGATTTGAGTCCCTGGCGGCGTAGTGTGTTACTGATGGTAGGCTTTGTTACTTTGGTCCCAGCTCCCTGCAGGTCATTCAGTAGGTGTGGTTCTGGGATTTTTGCTCAACGTTCTTGTGATCATTTTGACCCCACGGGGTGAGATCTTGCGTGGAGCCCCAGATCAAGGGAGATTATCAGTGGTCTTGTATGTCTTCCATTTCTTAATAATTGCTCCCACAGTTGATTTCTTCAAACCAAGCTGCTTACCTATTGCAGATTCAGTCTTCCCAGCCTGGTGCAGGTCTACAATTTTGTTTCTGGTGTCCTTTGACAGCTCTTTGGTCTTGGCCATAGTGGAGTTTGGAGTGTGACTGTTTGAGGTTGTGGACAGGTGTCTTTTATACTGATAACAAGTTCAAACAGGTGCCATTAATACAGGTAACGAGTGGAGGACAGAGGAGCCTCTTAAAGAAGAAGTTACAGGTCTGTGAGAGCCAGAAATCTTGCTTGTTTGTAGGTGACCAAATACTTATTTTTCACCATAATTTGCAAATAAATTCATTAAAAATCCTACAATGTGATTTTCTGGATTTTTTTCCCTCAATTTGTCTGTCATAGTTGACGTGTACCTATGATGAAAATTACAGGCCTCTCTCATCTTTTTAAGTGGGAGAACTTGCACAATTGGTTGCTGACTAAATACTTTTTTTCCCCCACTGTTTATACAGACAGTGCTGTGATAAATAATAATAATAATAATAATAAATAATAATAATAATATGCCATTTAGCAGACACCTTTATCCAAAGCGACTTACAGTCATGTGAAGTACAGTACAGTCACTGGGCAATACAGAATTTCAGCTCCCTCCAAAGATTTTCTATTGGGTTCAGGTCTGGAGACTGGCTAGGCCACTCCAGGACCTTGAGATGCTTCTTATGGAGCCACTCCTTAGTTGCCCTGGCTGTGTGTTTCGGGTCGTTGTCATACTGGAAGACCTAGCCACGACCCATCTTCAATGCTCTTACTGAGGGAAGGAGGTTGTTGGCCAAGATCTCGCGATACATGGCCCCATCCATCCTCCCCTCAACACGGTGCAGCCGTCCTGTCCCCTTTGCAGAAAAGCATCCCCAAATAATGATGTTTCCACCTCCATGCTTCACGGTTGGGATGGTGTTCTTGGGGTTGTACTCATCCTTCTTCTTCCTCCAAACACGGCGAGTGGAGTTTAGACCAAAAAGCTCTATTTTCGTCTCATCAGACCACATGACCTTCTCCCATTTCTCCTCTGGATCATCCAGATGGTCATTGGCAAACTTCAGACGGGCCTGGACATGCGCTGGCTTGAGCAGGGGGACCTTGCGTGCGCTGCAGGATTTTAATCCATGACGGCGTAGTGTGTTACTAATGGTTTTCTTTGAGACTGTGGTCCCAGCTCTCTTCAGGTCATTGACCAGGTCCTGCCGTGTAGTTCTGGGCTGATCCCTAACCTTCCTCATGATCATTGATGCTCCACGAGGTGAGATCTTGCATGGAGCCCCAGACCGAGGGGGATTGACCGTCATCTTGAACTTCTTCCATTTTCTAATAATTGCGCCAACAGTTGTTGCCTTCTCACCAAGCTGCTTGCCTATTGTCCTGCAGCCCATCCCAGCCTTGTGCAGGTCTACAATTGTATCCCTGATGTCCTTACACAGCTCTCTGGTCTTGGCCATTGTGGAGAGGTTGGAGTCTGTTTGATTGAGTGTGTGGACAGGTGTCTTTTATACAGGTAACAAGTTCAAACAGGTGCAGTTAATACAGGTAATGAGTGGAGAACAGGAGGGCTTCTTAAAGAAAAACTAACAGGTCTGTGAGAGCCGGAATTCTTGCTGGTTGGTAGGTGATCAAATACTTGTCATGCAATAAAATGCAAATTAATTACTTAAATATCATACAATGTGATTTTCTGGATTTTTGTTTTAGATTCTGTCTCTCAGAGTTGAAGTGTAACTTTGATAAAAATTACAGACCTCTACATGCTTTGTAAGTAGGAAAACCTGCAAAATCGGCAGTGTATCAAATACTTTTTCTCCCCACTGTATGTATTTGTTTTTTACTGACAAATAAAATCTATCAAATCAAACAATCCAAACTGAGCAGTGGCAATTCGATCTGTTACAAAACACCAAAAAGCGTAATGACATTCAGAGATTGTCAAGCCAAGCCTTCCATACTGGGTAGGCCTACAAGGTAGGGGGGGAAGGGTTTCTGTTTGTTGAGATTTACATAGTCTATTTATTGTGGTGTTGAAAACGCAAACCATGATATTGAATGTTTTGTTTATTGGTTGTGTGGTGCATTGGCACAGAAACCTGTTGGTGGAAAATGTGTTGCATATATTTTATATAATTATAAATATGGCTTCAACATGTTTAAAATCGGATTCCCCCCTAGCTGCTCATTGTCTGCAACTGGCTCTGATCATGAAATAATGAAACAGGCAGGGAGAGTGAGCTCGTCTGTGGTGGTCGGTGAACCCTCAACCTTCTGGCCCGTAGACCTGAGTGGCATCAACTTTGCCACAAAAGTATGTTGAAGTGGCAAAGTCGATATCCACGTTTATAAACACAGGGTTGCTACATTTATTGTTATTTGTTGGTGTAAACATTATTGAAAATATTTTTTCAGTTGCGGCAGGGGTGCATTTTATTTTATGACACCATAAATTGGACAATTCTACTAATTCGATTAGGCCTAGCCGTGTTTTAAGCTGAGCAACCACTGTTTTAACACGCATTGGCACGGAGGCCATGTAAAACGGTGCAAAGTGTAGGCCTATCGATAACATAAACTATGTTTCCATCCAGTTTTTATGCGAGTAAAGTCATACCGTATAAAACAAAAAGTCATGACAGCTGTGATGGAAACAGAAAGTTTTGGTACAATTTTATAAATACCGACAGATAGTTTGTTCATTCAACATGGAAATGCCTTTATGTGCAAATATTGATATAATAATCATCATATCGAAGTAAACTTGGAGTGGTGTGTGGTCCTCCCACTATGACTAGGGAAAGCACACAGTTTATTAGGCTACAGATGAACTTCACAGGGTGGTGAAAGGGCACGGTGATGAGCTTGATGCTCTTTTCCAATAAATATCGAGGGTCTTATTCTGGTGACATGATGATCGATGCTTGACTGCCGTTTGACAAATCAAAATATTAAATCGCTCTTATCCATAATAATCTCATCATGTAGACTACCCGACCTGCATATATGCACACTGTATCTGCGGGCTGTTGGGGTGATGATGTAATCTCTTCCAAAGTGGATTAAATGTCAGTAATGGATTAGGAGCATCCTAAACTAGTCCAGTTTACTACAATCCACCGTGTCAATCACAATTATAATCGGGTCTCTCTAGTCATCTGCACTGCTGCACAAATGTCTTTGCTGTTACATCAAGTTTGCCAACACTATAACACTAAAATGTGTATAAATCTGTTTATAAAAAAGGAAACCACTGATGGCAAAACATTGTGCGTGTGGTGTGCCACAGATTCAACTGAGATGACAGAAGTGAACTAGATATGGGCCACATGGCCTGTCCTTGCACAGTCAGTAGACGTATTTGCTATTGGCACATTATATGCTTCCGTCAATGAAGGCCAATGGCAATCTCTCAGTCATCCAGCGTTTTCACAAGCATCTCTGTCTGCTTGGTAAACGGCCTCAACAGCACATCCTTATTCTTCAGCTCACTATCCCCGGTATAGAGGTTGTGCTGGTGGATATACTCGATGACAGAATCCGGGAGGAGGTACTTGACGCTGAGGCCTCGTCTCAGGGCCCGCCGGACCTCCGTGGCGCTGGTCTCGTTGCGGACCCACTCGCTCACCAGGAAGATGTTTCGCCAATGGCGTGAAAGTGTGTCTGACTCGTGCACGGCGCGCTCGGGCTCCAGGCCCCCCCGGCTGACACAGACCAGGCCGAAGCGGCCCGCCACCTCCTCCACGTGGTCGTCCAGCCACAGGCCCGGCACCTTGAAGGTGTCCAGGAAGTCAGCTCCGCACAGCAGCTTCAGCCTGGGAGAGGAGCCTGAGAGAGGGCCAAGAAAAGGAAGAGTTGGTGAATGGTGGCCTTTACAACAATGTCTCTCCTGGTCTCCACCCAAGAGAGATTTGGATGTGGCCATCATGTTGCAGTAAACATGAAAGCCATGGTTTTAAAGACCATGGAATTGGTTTGCTGAGAGTTAGTTATTCATTTGTTTTACTGATTTCTTTATTTGTACTGCGGTAAATCATGTAATCCATCCCTCACTAGAATTAGCAATTTTCTTCATAAATATAGGTGTTAACCAGATGTAACCCCATGCCAGCTGACCACCAACAAAGTACGATGTAACTGAGCATTCGGATTATGTCCCTAAATCCATTTAATTCAATATTGTATTTTCAGTCAGGCCTTGTGCTTTGTGGCACAAACCTTCCGGAGATCCGAAGCACGGGTGAACACACACACACACACACACACACACACACACACACACACACACACACACACACACACACAAACACACACACAGAGTCTTAATGGGATCCCTGAACAAAAGCTAATGCTCTTTAGCTGCGTTCGCTAGCACTGCAGTGTAATAACAGTGTACACGTTAAGCACAGGCACACTATATGGGATTGTAAAAATCCATTACCCTTCTTTGTGTAAGAGCTTGTTTTAAAAGTGACAGGACATGAATTTTGGGATTTGGAGTAATTTGTTGACTTGTGCAGATAAACAATGGTAACCTGTATGTATTGACAGCGTGCTGACCAAACCCTAGACTGACAGTTAGTCAATGAGTAGATCAATCTCATGATTAAACAGACAATAAATCAATAAAAAATGTAATTGAGTTTAGTCAGTCATGAGAACTACAGATTTTGCTCTTAACCTGGAACTACATACACCACACATGGAACTCATTAACTCATTGAATTTCATGTGTGATTTATGTAAACTACCGGTCAAAAGTTTTAGAACACCTACTCATTCAAGGGTTTTTCTTTATTTTTACTATTTTCTACATTGTAGAATAATAGTGAAGACATCAAAACTATGAAATAACACATATGGAATCATGTAGTAACCAAAAAAGTGTTAAACAAATCAAAATATATTTTATATTTGAGATTCTTCAAATAGCCACCCTTTGCCTTGATGACAGCTTTGTACACTCTTGGCATTCTCTCAACCAGCTTCATGAAGTAGTCACCTAGAATGCATTTCAATTAACAGGTGTGCCTTCTTAAAAGTTAATTTGTGGAATTTCTTTCCTTCTTAATGCGTTTGAGCCAATCAGTTGTGTTATGACAAGGTAGGGGGGCATACAGAAGACAGCCCCATTTGGTAAAAGACCAAGTCCATATTATGGCAAGAACAGCTCAAATAAGCAAAGACAAACAACAGTCCATCATTACTTTAAGACATGAAGGTCAGTCAATACGGAACATTTCAAGAACTTTGAACGTTTCTTCAAGTGCAGTCGCAAAAACCATCAAGCGCTATGATGAAACTGGCTCTCATGAGGACCCAAAGTTACCTCTGCTGCTGAGGATAAGTTCATTAGAGTTACCAGCCTCAGAAATTGCATCCCAAATAAATGCTTCACGGAGTTCAAGTAACAGACACATCTCAACATCAACTGTTCAGAGGAGACTGTGTGAATCAGGCCTTCATGGTCGAATTGCTGCAAAGAAACCACTACTAAAGGACACCAATAAGAAGATACTTTTTTTGGGCCAAGAAACACGAGCAATGGACATTAGACCGGTGGAAATGTGTCCTTTGGTCTAGAGTCCAAATTGGAGATTTCTGGTTCAAACCGCAGTGTCTTCGTGAGACACGTGTGGGTGAACGGATGATCTCCACATGTGTATTTCCCACCGTAAAGCATGGAGGAGGAGGTGTTATGGTGTGGGGGTGCTTTGCTGGTGACACTGTCTGTGATTTATTTAGAATGCAAGGCACACTTAACCAGCATGGCTACCACAGCATTCTGCAGCGATACGCCATCCCATCTGGTTTGGGCTTAGTGAGACTATCATTTGTTTTTCAACAGGACAATGACCCAACACACCTCCAGGCTGTGTAAGGGCTATTTTACCAAGAAGGAGAGTGATGGAGTGCTGCATCAGAGGACCTGGCCTCCACAATCTCCAGACCTCAACCCAATTGAGATGGTTTGGGATGAGTTGGACCGCAGAGTGAAGGAAAAGCAGCCAACAAGTGCTCAGCATATGTGGGAAATCCTTCAAGACTGTTGGAAAAGCATTCCAGGTGAAGCTGGTTGAGAGAATGCCAAGAGTTTACAAAGCTGTCATCAAGGCAAAGGGTGGCTATTTGAAGAATCTCAAATATAAAATATATTTTGATTTGTTTAACACTTATTTGGATACTACATGACTCCATGTGTTATTTCATAGTTTTGATGTCATCACTATTATTCTACAATGTAGAAAATAGTAAAAATAAAGAAAAACCCTTGAATGAGTAGGTGTTGTAAAACTTTTGACCGGTAGTGTAGTTCCAGGTCAGACCAAAAGCTGCTCATGACTACCTAAACTTCTAGGTTTACTAAGCGTTTGCACCTCTTCAGCGTTTGCACTTGTTTAAAAGGGGAAGAATAGGCATTGGTTTACCATTTATGTTTTATTCCCTGGTGCATATACTTCAACATATTTAACATAATATCTAACACTCATCTTTGGGGAGAAAATGCTACAGCCCTCTGGGATTAGGGACAAGAGTTCTAGATAATGTCTCTCCAAAGGAATTTCTGATAGGGTTCTTTCTGATCTTATCCACCAGACTTTGATAGGAATGGTGTGCGTGTGTGTCTGGCTCCATTTACACAGTCTTTCCTGGCACATACTGAGACCTTCATAATGATCTGTTCATGCCACACATCCCCCTCATCCTCTATACGTCATTAGCTTTAATGAACATGCTGCTTCCATAGAGCTGACTTCATAGAGCTGCTTCCATAGAGCTGCATGTGTAAAGGGGATAAAGGATTACTTAGTTGGCTTGAAAATATGAAAAAACAGATCCTTTACATATTTCAACCTAAATAAGATTCAAAATAGGGTATTAAAGACTGAGGAGAGGACGCCGGTGCCAATGTGGAGGATTATAACTAATAGAGGATGATTGCAGCTCAGTTGGTGCCAAGAGAGAGAGAGAGGCACAGTTCCATTTCAGTCCACTTCCCATAAAAGTCCCAGAAAACAGAATTGTGTTGAATGTTGAAGTCCAATTTCAACTGTTGTAAAATACTTTTCATGTGGTTGTTCAAGTGTGAGTACAGCTAATTTGATTTGTTAATTCAACTACTTTTATAGTTGATTGATTACTTTGAAATACTACTTGTATTGCCATGGGCCCACAAAGGGCCAGGTAAAGAGCCGCACGCGGCTCCAGAGCCACACATTCTAGACCCCTGACCTATCCAATCCTTTTAGAACTTTGAACATAAAAGGAGAAGGGGCTAGGGGCTGGAATGGGCCCATGCTACAGAGTGCAAGGTGAAGGAGGGTCTTACTTGTGAGATGATGGGAGTTTGTGGTTGGACCACTGTCCTTCCCTGTGCCCTCTTGGTACTGTTTCAGTATCCGACCATAATGGTACCTGCCAGCAGGACAAACAAAGCGAGAAACAAACAAACAAACATATGACAAACGCAAAGAAAACCAATGAAGGAATATACTGTTGAGAGCAAAAGCCTCTTACAGATGTTCTAGAAGATTTGTGTTGGCCGTTGGGTTACGTGATGCCATAGGTTCCCACAGCCCTGCTCCAATGTGGACAACAGGCCACTTCATGACTTTAATCAGCTCCGCTTGTTGCGAAAACGCAGCTTAAGAGTGCAGACAGCTCGCTCAACAAGGGGATTTGTCAGAGCAGAGGGGACAAGGAGAGGGTTGTATAATGCATCACAAGTGGGAACAGCACTTAAACTATGTGTGCATTTATGTTTGTGTATGTGGGTGTGTGTGTGTGTGTGTGTGTTTACGTTCGCATGGGTGCACATAGCCATTGTGTACATATAACTAAATGCATGTCATGTTTATGTGTAACCCTCCATTTATTTGACTTGTAGATCAAATCAATAGTGAGTGCCATTGTGGGAGAAAACACGCATGTAAAGTGGAGGTAACTTTCTGTATGTATAGTTTCAACTGGTTTATCAAAACCAAATGCAACTGTGTCCCACATCCACTTAATCACTATGGCAACATGTTACAATATGTCACAATAGCAACAAACTGATCTGACCCCAATAAACACCCAGACCTGGCATGCCCTGGCATGGGCATGTTGGCGCAATATCCCTGGAACCTCTGGCATCGCAGCCTTAGATCTGAGGTGGTTTCTGGCACATAGAACAGTTGGCATGGAGCAGCAACAGAGGGGATTTTTACCCAGGGAGCTCTATTGCTTTTCTATTGTGACTAGGTTTGCGGTGCGGGAAGAGGAGATTCTACGGAGCACTAACGGCTAATGAAGAGCTAAAGGTCGAAGGCTGTGAAGTACAACAGGAGAGGACATAAACCAAGGCTCCGGACCAGTGTACACCTGTATTAACATGTGATTGGCTGTTGTCCATATTCAGTGGAATTTGATGTTTATGGACAGGTGTAGAATAGAGTACATGCACGTAAAACGCATTGTGATCGGATCTGATGGACCACAACAGTCATGTAAGTGTAGTTGTAACGGTCCTTAGATGAAGTAGAAAATTCCGATCATGAACGTGGACAGTTGAGGCATGATGTGACACATCATGTTGGGAGACATTTTAATACAGGGTGTGGATGCAAACTAAGCCCTTAATGAGATTTTTGTCTAAATAATTTGTGATAGGATGATCAAAGTTATTTTTAAATGTCAGGTGTAGACGGGGTCTGTCTGATTGAAAAGGAGGATGAAGCTCTGACTGGCCTGTCTGCATGCTGAGATGTTTTACTTTGTCTACAACAAAGGGAATTAGACATTTTTACAACGTGATATTATTTCATGTATAAAGTGGAGCTGTATTGAAGGATTTTGTAAGTAAACCCCTTGAACAATTATCCCGGAGCTCTTGGAAATCAAAAACGTCCAGTAAAGGATACCATGGTTAGTTTAAGGTATTGACCACTTGTCAACACTAATGTTTGAGGTGGAATCCTGACCTATCAGATCTTCGATAAAAGCTCTGAATCCTATTGTGTTCTTTTTAACAAAAACACTTACAAAGTTATGAAAGGGTTACACTCAGCGGCTAACTTGCATAATGATGACTGTGGTGTACATGACCAGTGGCATCACAAGGCAATGCTGATCCCGCAAAATCTCTAATAACATAAATGTCTTAGTGTACTGTAGTTCACTGCTCATCAAAGCGGTAATAAACTTCTCAAAACGTTTCTTCAGAGAGAAGCCATTTCGGGGCTGTGATATACTAGTAGTTACTTAATCAATTAGTTTAAAGGTTTAAACTGTGAAAATGTGTGACTCCACACCTCATTGTGACCACTGTCTCTGTCCAGTCGGGCTGTTGGCTCTCCCAATCATCAACGGAGACCCAGTCTGAGCTCTGCAGTGCCAGCCTCGCCATAGCGATGCGGTGCTTGGCCAACACCAGGCCCTGCTTGCCATAGCCGTCACTCACCGGAGACACAATCCCGCCCACCACCTGGAACTGACCTGAAAGGAGGTAAATCATTGGTTGATGAGACTCTTGATCCTCCCCACTCTCTGACATTGGGCGGATTTGATTATACTGAGCCACGGGGCACCGGTCTATGGCCCATGACGTGAACGGGCAAAAGCGGTGAGGGAGGAGTGCCCTTCTCAAATATTACAGTAATCTGCATGTCATGTTGTCAACAAGGAAGCATAGCGCATCATCCAGAAACATACAACATATATTTTCCATAAAAATATATTTGAATTTTCAAACTACAGTGGGGGAAAAAAGTATTTAGTCAGCCACCAATTGTGCAAGTTCTCCCACTTAAAAAGATGAGAGAGGCCTGTAATTTTCATCATAGGTACACGTCAACTATGACAGACAAATTGAGAAAATGTTTTCCAGAAAATCACATTATAGGATTTTTAATGAATTTATTTGCAAATTATGGTGGAAAATAAGTATTTGGTCACCTACAAACAAGCAAGATTTCTGGCTCTCACAGACCTGTTTCTTCTTCTTTAAGAGGCTCCTCTGTCCTCCACTCATTACCTGTATTAATGGCACCTGTTTGAACTTGTTATCAGTATAAAAGACACCTGTCCACAACCTCAAAACAGTCACTCTCCAAACTCCACTATGGCCAAGACCAAAGAGCTGTCAAAGGACACCAGAAACAAAATTGTAGACCTGCACCAGGCTGGGAAGACTGAATCTGCAATAGGTAAGCAGCTTGGTTTGAAGAAATCAACTGTGGGAGCAATTATTAGGAAATGGAAGACATACAAGACCACTGATAATCTCCCTCGATCTAGGGCTCCACGCAAGATCTCACCCCGTGGGGTCAAAATGATCACAAGAACGGTGAGCAAAAATCCCAGAACCACACGGGGTTGACGTGTACCTATGATGAAAATTACAGGCCTCTCATCTTTTTAAGTGGGAGAACTTGCACAATTGGTGGCTGACTAAATAGTTTTTTTCTCCACTGTAGTTTTCATTGAGAAGGCAGCTAAAGTGTTTTTATCGAAAGCAATCACTTTTGCATGTGAAAACACAGAATCCTACTCATTACTCCGCGTGCTTAATTTTGTCACTTTTGTTTTGAGCCGACTTCACCGTGGGTTTTGAACGGGGCACCAGGCTCACGCCCAGGAGGCAGCCCGGTTCCAAAAGGAATGCAATCAACTTTCACCCGGTGCAAAACACGCCTAATCGAATCCCCTCAATGACATATTGTCTTCCTTATTGCCCCAGAAAGGGCTACGACCGGTCACAAGGCTATGGGATTAAGGGCAATTCTATAACTATAATAAGAAAAGTGTTTTATACAACATGGGAAAATATAACAAATCGCTAGTCACCACGCAATATAATACTATACAGCTTATTCTGCTCAATGTTTACATTCTCACAGGTCAGCTGACATCTGGGTCCATGGGAAACTAGGAACATGATTTATTCCAACTGAAGTGCAGTCCTGTTTCTTTGGTCTATAGACTGAATGTTAAGGCACAAGGTGTAAAGTTGTGTGCAAGGAAGGCACAGCTCTATCTGCACAGATGACTATTGATACTTAACCACGATGGAAATGCTCCTGAAAGCTACACAGAAACCCTTGGGGGACTTCTTCCTTCCACTGTCCCGTGAGCACACTGATGAAATAAACAGACTCGTGCATAATACGTGCAAGTCTAGGAGGCAACACGAACATAGCAAATGAATACAGGGTCTCTATGTTGCCTGACCTGTCTGGTGCAGGTGATCCCTGGCCAGCTCGAACAGCCGCATGTGCTGGTTGGTGATGGGGTTGAAGGAGCCGCAGGCCAGGAGGACCAGTGGAATGCGGACAGACATCTTTGTTCCCTCAAACCATGGTCACCCCCACAGAACACTGAAAAACAGCAGAACACAGGATTAGAGATGAAGGGGGAAATGTATTCAATAATACCAGCAATGCTGATAATATAGCAATGCTTGAATTCATTGAATACTTGATGCACATTATCTCTCATAGGTGGTCAAGGTACTGAAGGGCTTAAATTGACATCAAGGAGGTTTAACAGTGTGGTCAGAATTTGAGGTATGAATCATGATAACTATGATGTGATATTTGGTTTATTGAGAAAGTAGCTATATGGAATTTAGCTATATGGAATTGGAGTGTGACCAGTGGTGGAAAAAGTACCCAATTGTCATACTTGAGTGAAAGTAAAGATACCTTAATAGAAAATGACTCAAGTCAAAGTGAAAGTTACCCAGTAAAATACTACTTGAGTAAAAGTCTAAAAGTATTTGGTTTTAAATATACTTTAGTATCCTAAGTAAATGTAATTGCTAAAATATACTAAAAGTATACAGTGCATTCGGAAAGTATTCAGACCTCTTGACTTTGCCCACATTTTGTTACGTTACAGCCTTATTCTAAAATTGATTAAATTGTTTTTCCCCCCTCATCAATCTACACACAATACCCCATAATGACAAAGCAAAAACACGTTTTTAGAAATGTGTGCGAATGTATTGAAAATAAAAAACGGAAATATGACATTTACATAAGTATTCAGACATTTTACTCAGTACTTTGTTGAAGCACCTTTGGCAGCAATTACAGCCTTGAGTCTTCTTGGGTATGACGCTACAAGCTTGGCACACCTGTATTTGGGGAGTTTTTACCATTCTTCTCTGCAGATCCTCTCAAGCGCTGTCAGGTTGGATGGGGAGCGTCGCTGCACAGCTATTTTCAGGTCTCTCCAGCAATGCTCGATCGGGTTCAAGTCCGGGCTCTGGCTGGGCCACTCAAGCACATTCAGACTTGTCCCAAAGCCACTCCTGCGTTGTCTTGGCTGTGTGCTTAGGGTCGTTGTCCTGTTGGAAGGTGAACCTTCGGCCCAGTCTGAGGTCCTGAGCGCTCTGGAGCAGGTTTTCATCAAGGATCTCTCTGTACTTTGCTCCATTCATCTTTCCCTCGATCCTGACTAGTCTCCCACTCCCCGCCGCTGAAAAACATCCCCACAGCATGATGCTGCCACCACCATGCTTCACCGTAGGGATGGTGCCAGGTTTCCTCCAGACGTGACGCTTGGCATTCAGGCCAAAGAGTTCAATTTTGTTTTCATCAGACCAGAGAATCTTGTTTCTCATGGTCTGAGAGTCTTTAGGTGCCTTTTGGCAAACTCCAAGTGCGCTGTGTGCCTTTTACTGAGGAGTGGCTTCCGTCTGGCCACTCTACCATAAAGGCCTGATTGGTGGAGTGCTGCAGAGATGGTTGTCCTTCTGGAAAGTTCTCCCATCTCCACAGATGAACTCTGGAGCTCTGTCAGAGTGACCATTGGGTTCAATTGAATTTACCACAGGTGGACTCCAATCAAGTTATATAAACATCTCAAGGATGATCAATGGAAACAGGATGCACCTGAGCTCAATTTCGAGTGTCATAGCAAAGGGTCAGAATACTTATGTAAATAAGGTATTTCTGTTTTTTATTTTTAATACATTTGCAAAAAAAATCTAAAAACCTGTTTTCCCTTTGTCTTTATGGGGTATTGTGTGTAGATTGACTAATTTAATCCATTTTAGAATAAGACTGTAACATAAAATGTGGAAAAAGCGAAGGGGTCTGAATACTTTCCGAATGCACGGTAACTCATTTCAAATTCCTTATATTAAGCAAACTAGACAACACCATTGTCTTTTTACAGATAGCCAGGGGTACACTCCAACAGAAATAATTTACAAATGAAGCCTTTGTGTTTGTTTAGTGAGTCCGCCAGATCAAAGGCAGAAGGGATGACCAGGGATGTTCTCTTGATAAGTGCGTGAATTGGACCATTTTCCTGTCCTGCTAAGCATTCAAAATGTAACGAGTACTTTTGGGTCTTAGGAAAAATGTATGGAGTAACAAGTACATTCTTTTCTTCATGAATGTAGTGAAGTAAAAGTAGTCAAAAATATAAATAGTACAGATACCCCCAAAAACTACTTAAGTAGTACTTTAAAGTATTTTTTATTAAGTACTTTACACCACTGAGTGTGACATAGCTGCATACAAGGTACAACAAGGTGCTACATAGGTACAACATTTTCCAACGAAAATTACGGAACTGGGGTAGACTACAGGTAGTCTCGCGAGGCTACACAGGAGACCCCTCACGCGGGGCTCACGTAAAACTTCTATGAAAGTTTTTATTTGTTCTAATTTAAACAGCACATGCAGGAAAACACGACTGGTTATTCATCTACAGTAGCAGTCAAAACTATTTTCAACATCTAGCTAGTATTTTCTTACTACATTAGCTAGTAGCTACCTAGCCTCGTTGAGAACCTTTTGGAGGTATGGCATCGCGAGCCTAGTAGCTACCTAGTCCGTTATACCTATTCCGCGTTATAGACAGGGTAGTTGGCAGTTTTTATCAGGCGGCTACAGGTGATTTGACATTGATAGCGGGCTAGCTAACGGTAACCAGGCTGGCTATAACACACACATCGAATGTCTTACGATGATTATGCTGTCTGCTATCTTATTTGTTTAAAATCCTGTCATGACATATTCATTAAAATGTTTTAACGCCAATGGTAGCTACAAGCAATAATATCATTACCTTTTCCCGCTTGTGTACTACGTGGTTTGCGTAAGGTTCATGTGTTACACTTTTTGCCTTCCCCAGCTTGAAGCAACGTTGTATAAAGGTTCTGTAGTGGTATGGTACGATAGTGACATCTAGTGGCAAAACTGACGTTCTCTAGTTGTTTGAGGTCTGCGTTCTTCACATGAAACTGAATGCCAGAGTTCTACACATCTGTGAGTACAAATAATACAAATCTCTCGCTCTCTCTCTCTCTCTCTCGATGTTTTGAAAACACAGAACTGTCTGTTGAAACTGCTGACACAAAGCTCAGACACCCATACATACCCCACAAGACATGCCACCAGGGGTCTCTTCACAGTCCCGAAGTCCAGAACAGACTCTGGGAAACATGCAGTGCTACATAGAGCCATGCCTACATGGAACTGTCTTCCACATCAAGTAACTTAAGTGAGCAATAAAATCAGATTTAAAAAAAAACTGATAAAACAACACCTCACGGCACAACGCGGACAGTAAAGACACACACACATACGCACACACACTCTTACACACACTACACACACACACACACACACACATACACATTGTAATGTTGTGGTATTGTATATTTTATATTGTACATTTGTAATATTAGAGTAATAATGTATTGTATGATGTGTTTTTTTATTTATGATGTAGGCTGTTGTTGTGTTTTGGTGTGATGTAACTATTTTAACCCTGTTTGGATCCCAGGAAGAGTACAGTACCATCAGAAAGTATGTATACCCCTTGATTTATTCCACATTTTGTTGTGTTACAGCCTCAATTCAAAATGGTTAAATATATTTTCTTCTCACCCATCTACAAACCACACCCCATAATGACAAAGTGGCCTTTAGAAAGGGGTGTGAATAATTATATGATTACAATATATCATTCACACCCCTGAGTTAATACATGTTAGAATCACCTTTGGCAGCAATTACAGCTATAAGTCTTTCTGGGTAAGTCTGTAGGAGCTTTCCACATCTAGGTTGTGCAACATTTGCCCATTATTATTTTCAAAAGTCTTCAAGTTCTGTCAAATTGGTTATGATCATTGCTAGACAACCATTTTCAGGTCTTCAAGTAGATTTAAGTCAAACTGTAACTCAGCCACTCAGGAACATTCACTGTCTTCTTGGTAAGCAACTCCAATGTAGATTTGTCCTTGTGTTTTAGGTTATTGTCCTGCTGAAAAGTGAATTAATCTCCCAGTGTCTGGTGGAAAGCAGACTGAACCAGGTTTTCCTCTAGGAATTTGTCTGTGCTTAGCTCCATTCCGTTTATTTTTAATCCTAAAACACTCCCCACACCTTAATGATTTCAAGCATACCCATAACATGATGCAGCCACCACTATGCTTGAAAATATGGAGAGTGGTACTCAGTAATGTGTTGTATTGGATTTGCCTGAAACATAACAGTTTGTATTCAGGACGAAAAGTTAATTTCTTTGCCACATTACTTTAGTGCGTTGTTGCAAACAGTATGCATATTTTGGAATATTTTTATTCTGTACAGGCGTCCTTTGTGGACTGAATACAATGTTCTTGATCCGTCCTCAGTTTTCTCCTATCACAGCCATTAAACTCTGTAACTATTTTAAAGTTACCATTGGCTTCATGGTGAAATCATGGTGAAATCCTTGAGCGGTTTCCTTCCTCTCCGGCAACTGAGTTAGGAAGAAGGATGCCTGAGGGACCTTACAGAGAATTGTATGTGTGGGGTACAGAGATTAGGTAGTCATTCAAAAATCATGTTAAACACTATTATTGCAGTGAGTCCATGCTGTAACACGACAAAATGTGGAAAAGTCAAGGGGTGGGAATACTTTCTGAAGGCACTGTAGCTGCTACATTGGCAGCAGCTAATGGTATCCTAATGAATACTAAATTCTAAAAATACACTCTCTCTCTCTCATGCGCACACACACACACACACACACACACACACACACACACAAACAGGCAGAGTGGGTTACGACCGTCATAGCTACAGTCTCCTTCAGGTCGCCTCTGCTCTCAGTTACTCATGCATTATAAATAACCTTCTTAACATAACTGTGCAACCTGCAGGAAGAATGGAAGGTTTCTTATTTGTCACACACACACACAAACACACACATGCACACACACACACACACACACTAGCATTATCATTAAAGTACAATGTGAGTTATAACGATATCCTTGTACTTACCTTTACAAGTTGTTATTACAATTAGTTTTGCTGAACTGCATGCTGGTAGTTCACTGTGAATGAAATAGAAACAGAGACGTTCTCATCAATAAATCGTTTTCCCCTTTTACTGCTTAACCCCTTGTATTTGCCATTGAGCTATAGGTGAATGATTGGACTTATACAGCTTCCCACAACCCACTCAAGTTACACACAAGAACTTGTCCATTTTGTTTTTTTAAATGACTTAGATCTGACCCCCTGTGGAGAATATTGTGAATTGCAACCAAATGCAGAACGCTGTCCATGGTGCTGAATATCCAAAACGTTACAGTAAGACATAGAGAGGGGGGAAAAAACACTGGAGAGGAGATGAGCAATAATTCAATGGAATACATTTACTGCAGCATATGTAACAAAAATAGATCTCCCCGCCAAACCCTTCACTTGAACAGATTGCCCTCATAAGATTTTAAATAAAAACTGGAATCAATTATTCATAGACTTCCATAACAGAGACAGGCGTAGCTGCAACCTATAACCGCCTAAATGTGCCTAATGGGGCAACCACATGGGACTATAGGGATGAAAGACAAGGGCCTTTGCATTTGACGGTAGTAAAAGATACAAGTAGAAAATTCAGGTAAAAACAGTTACTGCCATATTATATAGGAAATGTTCAAGTTATACATAATCATTTTAAAGAGGTATACATTTCTACTGATATTAACAGGTGAAAGTACAGTATTGTGATTTGAATCCAGCCGGCAGCTATCTATGGTGCACCAGATTGGGTATTTGCATTAGTGCAAGATTTGCATTTGTAGGGGGAATAAAACAGAAGGTCGCTCAAAAAATGTCAAATAAATGTAAAGAGAGGGAATTAAGTAAAGTGTAAATCAGTTTAAGGATAGCCTCTTAAATTTCCCTTCTGAAAAAGACAGATGCACCCTAATATGAGTGCTTATTAAAGCTGGCCCTCTGTAGTGCCTTACAGTCGGGTGCCTTTCAGTTGCCATACTAAGCAGTGATGCAGCTAGTCAAGATGTTCTCAATGGTGCAGCTGTAGAACCTTTTGAGGATCTGAGGGCCCATACCAAATCTTTTCAGCCTCCTGAGGGAGAAGAGGTGCTGTCATGCCCTCTTCACAACTGTGTGGGTGTGTGTGGACCATATTCATTTCTTATTGATGTGGACAACGAGGAACTTGAAGCTCTCGACCCGCTCCACTACAGCCCCATTGATGTGAATGGGGGCGTGCTCGCCCCTCCGTTTTCTGTAGTCCATGATCAGCTCCTTTGTCTTGCTGACGTGGAGGGAGAGGTTGTTGTCCTGGCACCACACTGCCAGGTCTCTGACCTCCTTCCTATAGGCCTACCACTATCAGGTCATCAGCAAACTTGATCATAGTGTTGGAGTCGTGCACGGCCACACTGTCGTGGGTGAACAGGGAGTACAGAAGGGGACTAAGCGCACACCACTGTGGGGCCCCAATGTTGATGGTCAGCGTGGCGGATGTGTTGCTGTCTACTCTCATCGCCTAGGGTGTCCCGTCAGGAAGTCCAGGATCCAGTTGCAGAGGGAGGTGTTCAGTCCCAGGGAGCTTGGTGATGAGCTTTGAGGGGACTATGGTGTTGAATGCTGAGCTGTAGTCAATGAACAGCATTCTTACATAGGTATTCCTTTTGTCCAGGTGGGTGAGGGCAGTGTGGAGTGCAATAGAGATTGCATCATCTTTGGATCTGTTGGGGTGGTATGCGAATTGGAGTGGGTCCAGTGTGTCTGGGATGATGGTGTTGATGTGAGCCATGACCAGCCTTTCAAAAAATGTCATGGCTATAGAAGTGAGTGCTACGCGGTGATAGTCATTTAGGCAGGTTATAATCTTAGATATTATATCTTCCATATATCTTATCATTTCATCTGTATGTATTGTGAATACTACGATATGAATTGCCTCATTGATGACATTAAAGTTTTTCTAATCTAATATCTTATACTGAACAAAAATATAAACACAACATGTAAAGTGTTGGTCCCATGTTTCATGAGCTGAAGTAAAAGATCCCAGAAATGTTCCATACGCACAAAAAGCTTATTTCTCTCAAATGTTGTACACAAATTTGTTTACATCCCTGTTAGCGAGCATTTCTCCTTTGCCAAGATAATCCATCCACCTGACAGGCGTGGCATATCAAGAGCTGATTAAACAGCATGATCATTAAACAGGTGCACCTTGTGCTGGGGACAATAAAAGGCCACTCTAAAATGTGCAGTTTTGTCACACAACACAGTGCCACAGATGTCTCAAGTTTTGAGGAAGGTGGCAATTGACATGCTGACTGCAGGAATGTACACCAGAGCTGTTGCCAGATAATTTAATGTTAATTTCTCTATCATAAGCCGCCTCCAACGTCATTTTAGAGAATTTGGCAGTATGTCCAACCAGCCTCACAACCTCAGACCACGTGTCACTACGCCAGCCCAGGACCTCCACATCTGGCTTTTTCACCTGCGGGATCGTCTGAGACCAGCCAACCCGACAGATGATGAAACTGAGGAGTATTTCTGTCTGTAATAAAGCCCTTTTGTGGAGACAAACTCATTCTGATTGGCTGTGCCTGGCTCCCCAGTGGGTGGGCCTATCAAGCGCTATGATGAAACTGGCTGTCATGAGGACCACCACAGGAATGGAAGACCCAGAGTTACCTCTGCTGCAGAGGATAAGTTCATTAGAGTTACCAGCCTCAGAAATTGCAGCGCAACTAAATGCTTCACAGAGTTCAATAGCAAACAGATCTCAACATCAACTGTTCAGAGGAGACTGTGTGAATCAGGCCTTCATGGTTGAATTGCTG